GTAAGCAGGGGAAATTTTTAGGATTTCAACTTCTTTGTTTGAGCTATTGTTCAAAATTGTATATAACGCGACACCGTATTAGAGAGACAAAAAGAGTAAAAGATAAGCGTCGAAAACTAAATGATAACGAGTTTTGTTGAGCATATGGATTAAAATATTCCAGAAACTAAAAATCGGACCTGCGCGATGTAAGCAAGAGAAATTTTGAGCATTTCATCCTGTTTGTAAAGGGCTATAAATCAAAAATGTTTTGACGTCACGCCGAAATAGACAGTCGGAAAGGGAAAAGGAAAAAACAAACAATAACGATTGTTTTAATTATTTAAACTAAAATATTTCAAAATTTAAATTCCATGGAGAATTCAGAAACCAATTTGCGGAAGTCAATATACTTCAATATACAGGCAACAAATTCCACCCACTTGTAAAAAAAGTTGTATTTGTATATAATACATGCTATTTGCAGATAATACTTAGTATTTATGGAATTTTATATTTATTTTTTTTACTTTTAATAATTAAAAATGTGATTGGGTAAGAAAGATTAGAGAAAACAATTGAAAAACGAACCATTATTATTCTAAAAGAAATTGATTACATCATCGTTTAGTAGCGCGTGTTTCCTCCTCTTGCCTTCACTACTTCTTTAAGACGCCTCGGCATAATTTCCACCAGTCGAGAAATGTCCCTTTGCTGGAGGAAAGCCCATTCCTACCGAAGAGCCCTTTCAAGGTCCTGCAGTGTATCAAGAAGTGTTGCACGCGCTCTTATTCGTCTTCCGGGGTTATCCCATAAATGCTCAATATGGTCAAATCTGGAGAACGTGCTGGCCAGGCTAAAACCTCAATATTGTTCTGTTGAAGAAACGTCTGCACAATGCGGGCGACATGTGGGCGTACATTATCGTGCATTAGAATAGAACGATTTCGTTGAGGATACGCAACACATGAGGTTCCAAAATCTCATCTACATAGCGAATGGCCGTCAAAGACTCTCCACGAACAACAACCAATTCTGTGCGGCTCTCCATTGAAATCCCAGCCCACACCATTAAGGAACCACGTTGGAAAGGTTGGCTCTGGGAAAAATTACAGGCTGCATATCTTTCGTTTCTTCTTCTCCACACCCTTTCACGCCCGTCTGGAGATCGAAGAGCGAATCTTGACTCATCTGTAAAAAGTACAGTACTCCATTTGTCCATAGTCCATGGCTGTGTTCTCGAGAAAAAGCCAGCCGTGTTATTCTGTGAGTTCTGGTAAACACTGGTCCTCTTACTGGAGGAAAAGCCATTAATCCATACTCATTTAATCTTCTCCGAGCGGTACGTTCAGAAATGTGCACACCTCGAACTTCTTCGAGCTGATGAATCGCTTGAACAACGGTAAGGTGCCGGTTTCGTAAAATTCTCAAAGTCAAAAACCGATCATCCCGTGGTTCTGTTACCCTAGGCGGTCCAGAACCGGGCCTTCTATTGTAAGAACCAGTTTCCCGAAAACGCCTGACGGCGTCTCGTAAAGTTTCATATGGAAATCTCATGGCATTAGCTGCTTATCTAATGGAACGTCCATCATCAATAAGTGCCACACCACGTGCAACATCCACAGCACTAAGAGGCATTTTTAAACTTAATATTGAAAAAAATAAAACTAAGAACTGTGCTGCAAGAAACGGCACTGAACTAATGATACTGAACAAACATTTTGATTCCATAGAAAGTAAACATTGGAATCTAGAATCATTTCATTGAATTAAGGATTAAGGGTTATTGTGCTCTATATATTAACATTCCTAATTGAAAACAAACAAAAATAATACCTATTTATTCATTAAAAACAATAGACCAATCCAAAGCAGAAATATTTTTAGATGAAAACATGAAAAAATCAAGTGGGTGGAATTTTTTTGGAATTTTGTCACAACGGCGCAATAATATTTAGAAGTGTTTTTGTATTCATTTCATTATCATCGGGCCTTTCCTTTCGAAATGGGGGCGAAAAACGTGATTCGCTTTAGACTGTAGCGCCAATACGGCTTTAACGATTTTAATTAAACTTGGCTAAAGTCTTTCCCTTATAATATTTATTATTTAGGTATATAACATACTTTTCCGAAAAAAAAGCTGCATAAATACAAAAAGTACACATTTTTTTATTGATAATACCAATATTTATTTGAAAGCTTCCTGAATTCCCTACAAAAAAAAAAAATAAATAAAACATCGAAATCGGACTAGTTTTTGCAGAGATGTACCATTTTAAACATTTAGTAATGTTTCTGTTGCAAAGACGATTTCCTTTATTTTGTTTTTTGATAAATTGGAAACTTTACATTTAATGAAGTGTTCGGGATTATTATTTGAAGAGATGATATCATTGAATGTTAGTGGAATTTTACCTTATAAATTACATTTTTTTTTTTTTTTTTTGTCTATAAAATATGTATTTGACCCTGTCAACAATAAGTTGACAATCAGCGAATGTGATGGCGATAATGATATAATGACATGACAGGCATGGGGAATTAAATTAAATTTTAAAATAAATTCTATAGTTATACTCATTCTTAACTTAAATACTGCACATTCCATTATTTAATGGAACAGGAAGGAGAGTGAAATACTGATGGAAGCTACTTTAAATATAGGAATTTTAATTCCAAGAACTAATTTAATATTTTCTGACACAATATTTCCATTTGAATTACAAAGAACAACATTCTTATTAATAGCTGCATTTGATATGACCATAATCAAATCGCAGGGTCAATGTTTTGGAAAAATTTGTGTATTATTGCGATGTCCAGTAATTTCGCATATGTGGCAGCAAGTAGAGCACGTTCATATAAAATTTTGAAGTTTATATTTCCAATGGCAATGGGTAAGGCTATGTACTAAACAATGACAGAACATTCAAAAAGAACATTGTTTAGAGAAGTTCTGCATAAAAATGGATTTAAACTCACTTGAAATTGCTTATTTAAATTTATTTTTTACTTGCTTAGTCATAACATTAATTTATTGTGATAATAACACACATAAATTAAAATGAAAATTAAATATTTTGAATAAGTCTATTTTGTATTACTTATAAATAATTGTAAGTAGTTTAAGCTTGATTTTTAATTGAAATTGAAGTTTGTTTATATTAATAAATGAGGATTTTTGAATTGTGATTTATCTTTATTTATTGAATTTATTTTTTATTTAATTATGTTTTCCTCAAATTTTTAATGGCTATGGTCGAATTTCGACCACTGGGCGAACACTAGTTTTTTAATTAGACGTGAAAATAAGAAGTTATTTGTTTCTATTCAATTTTCTTTTGCACTCGATAGAGTTTCGAGTTATTTGAAATTACTGACGCCCGTTACAAAATTTATTTTAAAAAATGACAGAGTTTTTGTTGGATATTAACAATTATATTTCAATCAAAAGTATTCATTACATATTTTAGTTATCATAAACCTATTTTATCACTTTTAGAATATGATGAATATAACGACTCAGAAGAAAGTTTACTAGAATAATTTAAACAGAATTATAATTGTATATATGGAAAATGTTATTACTTTGTGAATATAGAACAAAAAATAGTTCAAAAACAAATATAAAAAAATTATATTTCATATTAATCTCGCCTCGTTGATGATTTCACTTCTATTTTGTCACCTAAAGTTCACACTGTAGTTTTTTACTAGTTATAATTTTATTTTCTCAAGCCAGAAATATTCTCTATTTGATATTTTTAATGTATAAATTCTAAAAATGTTGTATTTATAAAATGTTGTAGTCAATAAAATAGTTACAAACAAAAGTTCATTGGGATATATACATATATCATACATGACATATATACCATCCCTGTTTAGCAAAAAGCCATTAAGTGGCAATTTATAACCTGAAATCACTAAGAACTTGGTGAATTTTCCATCAATGAAATCAGAATATTGCATTTTTTTTTTTTTTTCGTTAATGTATTTGACATACAGGGTGTTTCATAAGTAGGAGGAAATAGTTCAGAGATTAATTATTATTTTAACTAACCGGCTCATATATTACTATAGTAAATTTCTTTTTCTTTTTTTTGTACCAACCAGCTGAACAGTATAAAATAGTGTTATTTAGTTGATCAGGCGCTGATGATCTGGATGTTTTGCGTTTAGACATCGAAACAAACAAACAATTAACAGAATTTTCTGTGGGCTCCAAGGCTGTCTAGAGTACATTTATAAAAAATTCAGCTAAGACTTCTCCAATACTCCGTAGGCACCTAGATGACATAGTTTGTCAGGTTAAAAGATGGAGAATAAAAATGAATGACTATAAGATCCTATTCTTTTCATTTACATCGACATGACTTGTCCTCAGGTATTTTTCAGCAACATTCCTATACAGTACAAGATTTAGATCTCAACCTGAAAAAAAACACTGAAATGGACTGGACAAGTCGCATAAGTCAGAAAAGAAAAGAATTTATCAGTGGTATGGACTTCATTCTAGGCTACTTGACGAGATGTTCAAAATTACAGCTGACTAATAAATTAACCATTTATAATGTTCTCATAAAACCACTTTGGATCTATGGCATCAAATTATGGGGAATATCAAAGATGTCAAATATAAAAACAAATAATTTTAATCCAAAATACTAAAGAATTGTGGACACTCCCTTTTAGGTTTCTAATTTGACATGTTATACATCTCTCTTGTCATTCGTTTTATCACAGCAACTGCCAGAAATTATATTAATAATTTTCATGACAGACTGACACTAACTCTATTAGTAAATATTTTTAATTATATTTATTTTATTCAATATGTCTCAAAATCAGTTGATTTGTAAACAGATTTTAATCAAAATTATTATATCTAATACTCTTTGTATTTGTATATAGTAATTGGACTTACATATTTTATTTTACCACTTCTTGATTAGATTGTATTATGTCTTATCTTAGGCTGGTTGGCAATAAAAACAAGTCTAAAAAAAAGACCATGCATATATACGTATCAACTTTAAAAAATCATTATATTTTACGATAACAAATATTTTAACATCTTCTTGTAGGTTTTTTAATTTATCATATGATTTCTTTTTATTGTTATTGAAAGTAGAAATGCTTTATTAAGTTTATAACACAACATTATAACAATTGAAGCGGAAATCTATCTTCAGTAGATTTTATCATTGTAACAGTTGCTTCCATTATTATTGTTTATTCAAAAAAATCGTGCTCCTTCATTCCAAGCTAAAACAAAACAATTATACAAATTTATCTTAAATATAATAGTAATAATATATACTACATAGCTTTCATTATAATCTTATCTCTTATATCACTATATTGTTACATAATTTAAATTTTATAAGATAATATTTACTTTTTTAGCTTCATTTGCTCCACATACAGCCATTTTGTAAGCAAATTCACATTGGTCAGGGCCAACTTCAGGAACTAGAATACATAATTAATGAGAATTTATAACAAATTTATGTATAAGTACATATTGCAAGAAAACAAGAATATATAAAATCTAATGTAGCAATGATTACTTTTAATTTATTTCTTATTGGTAATACAAGTTCATCCCAAAATATTCAGTACTCTAGTCATAACACCAATATATAAATTTTAAATATATTGGTATTATTTAGTAAATATATTTATATTTATATATTTTAAATATAATACCAATATATAAATATAAATATATATATATATATATATATATCAAATAAGTTGAGCAGATTTGATTTAGGACCTCAATACATTTATTGTAGTTTGAGTTGTGTTCCATCAAATCAAAATACTGACAACATTATATAAACTATCATAGTTATAATAATTATAAATATATGATTCTTATTCAATATACTATTTATTTATAGTTACCTTCTGTTGCACAATTTTCAATTACTTTTCTGGCTTTGGCTGCTTCATCAAAATCATCCATGTGAAAAACATCGGCCATTATTAAGGCATTATCTTTCAAATATTTTCCATCTTTAAGCTAAAAATTATAATTTTTAATGAAAGATTTTTTTCTGAAACAGAGTTCTATCTTAAAGCTATTTTAAGCTTTTACCAACTGGAAAAGTTGGATGCCTTAAAATTGTTTTAAAATGAAACCCTCTTTTAGAAAAAAGTTAAAACTCTTACATAATATACTTCGTAACATATAATTCAAATTGAAGGTTGAAAAAAGAATTATAATAATAATAATAACGAGCTAATAATCATATAACTATGAATAAAAAGTTGAAATAATGAGAATAAAGCTCCAGTCTTCAAGTATTTTTAACAATCATTCCAAATTTTTACTTTTCTTGTAATTAAAAACTATACACATTTATTTGGCTCTACCTGCTAGGGTCATGTGCAATCCTCTACTCAGTAACTCTTCTCATATTCTATTCTAGAATCCAAGTATTTTCAAGATATCCATTAGAATTTCCACTTCTGTCTCCGTATACAGCAACACCTCCCGAATAGTCTCATACATGTTGAGGTTCTTCTGCATAACCTTATAATGTTTACAGTCCACGAGTCTGTGGTTCAAAGTTCTAGGGAAGCCACACCTGACGCAGGTATGTGGTTCTCAACCGTGGAGAAGGTAGCCATGCGAAAATTCGCAGTGACCAATTCCTCTGAAACAGCACAGGTTTATTTCCTCTCTTTTTGATCACCTGTTACTAGTGCACCATTTAGCACTATTTGGTTTAACATGAGCTAGTTTTGAGGAGTTCCTTTTCCAAGCCTCATTACATTGAGCTATTATGTGGAATTTAGCATGCCTTAACCAGTCCTCCTGAGGAACAAAATCAATAGATTTTACCTCATTATTAATAACCGTCCGAGCCAATCGGGATGCGACATCTGCCTGTTCATTTCCCTGTATACAATAGCGAGATGAAGCCCAAATGAAAGCTATTACATTCTCTACCCTTTTACTGACCCAAATAAGTTCTAAAATTTCCACTATTGTAGCATGTTTAGATATTTTGTTTTGGATTACCAGTGGCACACTCATTGAATCAGTTACAATGACTGATTTTTTGTGCTTGGCTGCTTGGCAAAGCAGAAGTGCTTCCTTTATGACAGTTGCCTCTCCCGTGAAGATTGAGCAGTCACCAGGCAATTGGTAAACAAAAGTTATGCTTTCTTTAATTCACAGCACATCCTACTATAGAGTTCTCACCTTTTAAAGCATCTGCAGACAATACTTTAAAGTCTTTAAATTCTTCTAAAAGTAGTAAGAACTTTTTTTAAATTTCCACTGGACAAATCGAGTTTTCGGAAGCTTTCAATAGTGATATATTTATATTTATATCATGATGGCCTTTTGGAGGTTTGATACTGTTTGGAATCCATTCTATGCTATGTAAGTTCATAATTTGGTCCAGAGATGGGATTAATTCAATAATTTTTTGTTGCATCATGTTCCTCTGGATTATATATTCAGATGTATCACCTCAGATTCGATTCAATGGGTGCTTTTGAAGAAATGCCAATTTCGCTATATGCTTAGCAAAGAGATACAACCTTTTTATTTTCAGGGAAGGCTCTGCACTCGCAATATATATGCTTTCCACTGAAGAACTCTTATACGCTCCAGTACATATCCTTAGTGCAGAGTTGTGTACAACGTCCAGCATCTTGAGAACAGATGTATTAGCGGATCAGTAAATGATTGAACGATAATCCATCTTACTTCTTACTGTAGCCATATAGATCCTAATAAGGGACAGTCTATCAGCTTCCCAACTTGAGTGTGAAAGGCCCTTGAGTAGTCCTAACCATTTTGAGCAACCATACTTGAGATGTTTAATATGGTTATTCCAAGTTAAGCGTTTGTCTAAATACATACCTAAGTATTTCCGCTCATCAACAAATGAAATTTTATTTGATTCCAACCATAATTTTTAAATTTAATTCAAATATTTAAAATTAGGTTACGATAAATATGATTACTGTCTTATCTTAATATGATTACAATTAATTGCTTATATAAGTAAATTAACTGAATTGTTCTTATTTTCAGAACATATTAATGCAGTTCTATAATTAAAAAACAAGTTCAGATACCTCAGTAAAATTATATACAATTCAAAATGTATAACAAAAGTACACTTGTGTCAAATTTTAAGTAAATCTGAGTGGTGAGAACTAAACCTTTTGTAGAATTGGCATTATTACTAATAAAATCATTGAACTCAGTTTTGTTTTATACTATTGTGATACTCATTCTTAGATATTATTCATCATTGAAGTAAATCAATAATGTAAATATTATTTTTATAGCCAAAAATAATCTATTTTCAATCTATTTATAGAAATAATCAAAACGGAAGCACCATTGATTTGTTAGAATAAATTAATTTATATTGATTTTTAATTTGATTTGAAAAGATTTTTAACATAATATTAGAAATTTTTTACTTTTAAAATAATATATAAGATTATATCATTGCAAATTTAGGAAAAGTTGATTGGAGTGTGTAGTCAGTAAAACTCACAAATAATAAAATTTATTTTAATATATGCTGATGTTTCAGTCTAGATTTTAGATTTCTTTTAGGGAAGATTATGCAAGATTCTCACATGAAGTTCACATATTGCAATTGCCAACCAATTCTTTTACAATTAGTTTCACATTCAACAATACCTACACAATTATATCATTGATCGATGATATATTGCTTGCAGTTTGTCTTATTCCTAATTTTCCTTTAAATCTTTCGGCAATATTATGGTTAAATATTACAGTATACTTTCCAATATCAAAAATTCCTAATAGTTTATTGTTATATTGATTATAATAATTCCATACTTTTTCTTTAATCTCTTTCATCTATTGGAATATATTTTTTCAGAGTTCAGAGCAAACTCTGTGGCATAATGGTGAAGTACCAAAAAGACCAATTAAAAAAAAAATTACAGGAACACAAAATATGAGAAAGAATAACACAACGGAAATTTTAGATTTTTTTTTATATTGTAGGTCTAATAATTAAAAGAAATACTGAAAATTAAATAAAAGAATTATGTCGAGTCCAAGAGTACAAAAAGTGTTGTCTTAAAAAAGAAATTTTAAAAATCTCAAATACTACAACTATCAAAGAATTGAAAATTTATGATGGCATCTTTTTAAAATTGTTACTTGTTATTCTGGATATACAATAGATATAAGTAATAAACGTAAGCACTTACCATTTTTCCTTCTTCAAGCATACATGACAGCATACACTACAAAGAAAATATTTATACTATTATGTTATATTTATTATTGATGAAATAAATTATGAAAAGTTATTAAATTGAAGTAAATGGATAAAATCTGCTTGATAAATGATTTTTACCCCTTCTATATGGAATATTTTATTTAAAAAAACATTAAAATATTTAAAATATAAAAAACAGGCAATATTTAACTAATATAAATATAAGTTTTTATTAAACTTAAATTCTCCTGATCCTAATTGATGAGAGTTCCAGATTGTGGGTTGGTCATATGGTTAATAACTCTATCTCATTAAAAAAGAACTTATTACAAAACCTAAAACTAGTCTCAGAAAATTGGACATAGTAACATAGTACCAACCTGTCTGTTAACAATGTCTGGCAGCAGCTAAAAGTTTAATCATCAACAGTTCAATGTTCTTGCATAAGGAAATCAACTAGTACACCTGAGTAAGCTATGTTTTGACAGATAAGAGACATCTGAGCTCCATTCAAGAAATAAGAAGCTATTGTGGAGCAGATTGTGATTTATATCACAATCTGATTAGAATCAAACAATATCAGAGGTAGAAGCTAATTTAAAAACAGGGGATCGAGAGGAAAAAAGAAGGTACAAAAATTCTGAATTAAAAACCAAATTCCAGATTGAGGTGAAGAATAAACTCGAGCCCTTGGACTGAGAGACCCTCACAGTGAACCAACATTAATAGATAATAGAGATAGTGCTAAAAGAAATAGCTAAGAAAGTTACAACAGGTATTCAAGAGAAATTGCTATGAAGTGGTTCACAGAAACATGAGAAAAGTAATTTGGGAAAGAAGAAAACTGAATGTCCTCTGCCTAGCTGAAACTCATCAAGTTACTCAGTTTTGCCTATAATTTGCTATATAATTAAATAGCTACCCAAAAAAAGACAAACTAAATTATAAGGTCAGCAATACAAGAATTTCTCAAGGAAGATTTCAAACTATTGAATACACTATTAATATATCAATCAAACTATTGAATATACTATTGAATACAGGCTTAAGATAAATACCAATTCTACACAGATATTAGGAAATAAAGGATAGGATAGGAAGTGAGAAATATACAAATGCAAGTAAAATAAGGTATTCTGACAGCATCAAAAGAAAAGATAGTAACCATCTGAAAAGAACATTTCCAGCAGTTTCTCAATCAAGAAAAACCTACAAATGAAGAAGAAATGAACCAAACTGAAAACCCCAAACAACAGGTAGAAAAAACAGACATATTGGATGTGAATATAGCTATAGAAAAGCTTAATGCTCCAGGGATGATCAATCTATCACCAGGCCAAGGAGGAAACGATACTATGGTACTAATTTGTATTATCCTAAAGTAGGGCATCCTTGGGCCTTGGGACTGTCTCTATCCTAATGTATGAGCACATAGCACTCCTTCCTGTGACCTATAAGATAATAACCAATATCCCACTAAACCAGATATATCTGTATTACAAAAATATAACAGGTGACCACAAAGCTCAATTCAGAAGAGATGTTAGACCAGATTTTCATTCTAAAACAGATGCTCAAAAATAATAGGAAGTAGCTCAAGATATGCACGCCTCATTTATCGATTTTATAGTAACCTATAATTCCTTGGAGAGAAAATCTGTTTTAATGATTAAAGCTAAGTGAGAGCTTCAGGGAATTTGGTGAGATTGAGGAAGGAGTATAAAAATGATTCTAAATGACAAAAGCTGATATAAGGAGCATGTCTGAACCATTCAAAGTTCAAGTTGGCTTGTGGCAATGAGATGGATTCTCACCGATAATGTTCAACCTATTTTTTGAGAAGGAAGTAATCACTTGAAAATGGAGGGATACACTTCAGAATGAATCATAAAATGCTTGGATATGCAGATGATATAGCTGTCCTTGGAAGTAATTAAGAGTACATTGAGAGACTTGCTAAGACTTTAATAAGAGAAGCAGAGAAAATTGACCTACTAATAAATGAAGATAAAACAAAATACATGACTTTAAATTAGAAATTCCACACCAAGTAGAAGGAATAAGTTTCCCAAGATTAGACAAATACAAATACTATGGCTTCATAATAACCTCATTGAATGTCGAACAGTCAGAAATAGACTAGAATTATTACAATCACAAAAAAAAACTTTCTTATCCCAGGAAAGGCAGAGTTGGAGAAGGCTGATTAAGACAGCAAAAGATCTAAATGTTCTGTAAGCACGACTTAATGAATAAGGATATTGTTAGTTATATATGATTTATTTTCCCTAGCATTTTTTTTTTTTTTTTTTTTTTTATGAAATACATTAATAGGTATTAAATTATAAGTAGGATTCTATTTGACATCGGAAAATTTTATAAAAGTTGTTTTAAAAAAAAATTTTAATTAAAGATTTATGTGATGATCTTGTTTTCATGATAGCGAATTGTAAATACCTTGTAAAATTTAATAATTTGTATATGTTTTGTAGCATTCTACCTCTCTGAACCTATTGAGCACACTGCATAAAGAATTTCATACAATAAACATTTTTTTCTTAGCTCTGATGAAGGTCTGAACTTTGGGATGAAACATTGACTAAAATAAAAAATACTACTGTAAGATGGGGTAACTTTGGGGCTTGGTGGGTAACTTTGGGACAGCAGGTAAAATTTAGTTTGTGGTGATTCCTCAGTGAATAGACTGTTGGTCCAGTCTGCAAAAATGTGCTTTGTGTAGACATAGACTGCGCAATTACCTTGCATCAGTTTGAGTACCCTAGTTCACTACACTTGTTGTGTAGTTAGGTTTTATTTATTTCCATTGCTTTTTTCTTGAATTTATTCTTAAAATTCTTGTTTTCATGAAACTTTCGCTTGTACCTCAAGAGTAGTGTGCCACAAGGAATTAGCGTTGTACATGCCTACACAAAGCACGTTTATGCAGACTGAACCGGTAAAAACTAAACTAAAAAAAACCTGAACTGAAAAAAAACTGAATTGGTAAAACTAAATTTTATCCACTGTCCCTAACTTACCTCATCTTACAGTATACTTATTAATATTTTTTGACTGATCACATCAATCAATCTTCTCTTCCATAAACATGGTAATACTACTCTCAGTCTCTCAAGGTTAAGAACCTGCAAATAGTGGCTAAAAAGCCTCCTCTACAGTGTACATATGTGCTCAATGGGATTGAGATGTGGAGATAATACAGAAAGGGGAACATGTGAAGAGTATCAATTTTCATCATATTGATGAACAATTTTTCCTGTAGGAGGATAGTTAATAATTTATTAAAAATAAATAATACTTGTTGCTTCCTTTTTATGTTTATCAACAAATAAGAGAATCCCCAACAAACAAAAACAAATAGAATATTTTAATTAAAACAAATGAAATAAGCATAAAATAGAAATATCCTTATTCATTTTTGAGCAATATAGTTGGATATTGAGAAATACTAACTAAAAACTAAACATGATCAGAAGGACCAACATAATAACCAAGACCAGTTGTGTTTTAAAGCATTAAATAATGTTTATTCATTAAACTTATATTAAACAATTAAGCTTATATTAAAATATTGTCAATATGTTTTCAACTAACCTTTGCATCATGTGAATAACCAAAACCTATATCTGCACTCCTAAATGCTGAAAGTTCAGCTGAAAAAGATATTATTGATTAATTTTTGTAATGATTAGAAAAATTATTCTAAGTTATATTTATTTTTTAAAAAGTAAATGTATATATTTCTAAAATTAAATGTGATTGATTCGATTGCTTTGAAATATGAAATTAATTAGAAATTTAAAAGATTCCATTTAAAGAGAAATTTTAACTGAAGAAGATTAACTAGTATTAAAAACTTCATTTTTTAGAAAAATGACGAAATTTCCTAGCAAATTATTGTATTAGAAGAAATGTTAGTACATGATTTAGATAAATATATATAAAATATGTATTATGAACATTATCAATTGGATAGATGAAATGCTTGGTTAAATTATTTTAAGGTTTAATTATCTGGTTAAATCAAATTAAATGACAAGTTCAGAACCCAATAATCAATAACAGAACATTTAATTTCGATGAAAAGTTATGTATACATATTACAAGTTTTGTCAGTTCAATTGGGTGATAAATGGTCATTATTGTTTGAACAATAGGCCCATGGTCAATAAAAAAAAAATGAAAAAGATCATTTTTAGTTAACAACTTTTAAATAATTAATAATAATTTAATTATCAATCAGTTTTTATTTTATTGATGTGGCCACCAAAACTAAAATTGGATGTGTTAAAACTAGATATTTTAAATATACTATAGACTTATGTTTTTAAAAGCTAAAAAAAAAAAAATACTATTTGAGACAAAATAGCTTACCATCTGTAATGGGATTCTTTTCCTTACAGGTATTAAAAACTCTCATTATTTTTGCTTTTAGACTTTCTTCTGCCTAAAATTAATAATAGTAACAATAATAATATACATTATAATAATAAAATATATAATAACAAATTTAAATAATAATAAACAAATATATTATCAGCATTCGGCAGTGAGAACTCTCACATTCGATAGCTATCCTTTTTCCTAGTCTAAATTTTTGACACGCGAGCCTCTTTGAGATCTCAACTAAGTCCTACCAGCCGCATTGAGACCTCCAACAAAGAGGCCACGGCTTGTGATGAAAAAACAAATCTCGTTTTATAAATGACACTTCATTTGTGAAATGAGCTTTCTAAGAGAAAAAAACCATGCAATAAATGTTTTAGTAAAATCTTGTATGAGTAATTTGCTAAATTTTATATTTTTTAAAACTTTACAATATAATCAAAGAAACTTAAGCTGGATCCAACTCAGGGACTGTAGTTTAGAGACTTCTGCCCTAATGCATTGGAGATATAAGTGATATCCACCAAACATATTTATTAGTATAAACATAATACCATATTATCAAGATAGTCTATTCAATAAATACGATTTAAAGTAACAATTTACTTCATATAAATTATTGAAACAATTTTTTTATCACCTTCTAACTATACTACAATTTCCCCTCTCTTGGACAAACTTCCATCATTTATAACCTTTAAGTATATACAGATTTAAGTGAGGATTTATTGGGAAATAAGTTGAAATTCATCTCAAGTTGTAAAACAAAAAAAAAATTTGTCACTTGATATCCTGTCTACATAAAGTGCTCATATTTTCAGCAAAAGAGACTACTATAAATTATTACAAAGTTTTAATTAATTTTTTCCCATTACCTGAGATGTGTTATAATAAACATGATTGCATAGATATACATTTTTTTTTTTAATTTGTTTTAAAAATAATGTTTTTGAAATATTTATCATCTGAAGTGATTAAAAAAGTATTATCTATCATGAGATTTAATTTGTATATATAAGTGATCCACAAGATGTTTCTAATCCTAATATTTTGCTTTCATAAAAATAATTTTGAAGTAATTAGCAAATTATTTATTTTTATATGTTAATTAAATGTTCATTTATAATAATGAACTATAACCTTAAATTAGTATTGGACCCCGATTGGTAATAAAAACTGTATTTGGATGCAATATTGAAACATTTGGAAATTCAAAAGAGAAAAGCCTCTCCATTACATAGATCTTGTTTTTTGAAGAAGCAAAATTAACAAGGAACGATATATTTTATTTTAGAAATACAGATAATCGAGCAAATGAAAATCCTGTTGCAAAAATAAATAGACGACATCAATACCAATTTAAAGTATTAGCTCATTATTGTAAATAAATCTTCTTAAAAAAATAAAAATATACCTGATAATTGCTTGAATTATTTTCATTAAAACGTTAACAGTGGGATTAGGCAGGTTAATAATAATTATTAATTATTAATATTAGCTAATAGAACTTAGCTTGGTTTATTGTTCAAAAGACCTCTTTAAATGGTATTACGAATTACAAACTCTATTTTATTTTAACGTAAATTTTGTCTAGTTTACTGCAAAACAATTGTTAGTTACTTGAATTAGGTATTTTTTTAGTTCAAACTTCTTATTCCAGAAAACAATGGAACTTATCTAAAGAACTCAAAATTTGAATTTCCTCCTTTTCTGGGGAAAATCAGCTTTTGTTAATATGAACTTTTTTTTAACTCTTGAGGTCTACAGTCAGCTTTTTAAATATTTCCCTCTACTTAAGGGACACCCTGTTTAGTGTACATTAGAGCACCAATCACCATAAAATTATATCTTTTTATCAGCTACTCAGAAAGAGATGAAAGACAGGCATGTAATCCAAACCACTTCAAACACATTGTTTTAACGAAATTTTATACTCTAGGAAATTGCACATTTTTTACTATTTTGTAGGATATTTCACGTTTTAGATTATTTTGCAAGATTTTCTTTTTCTCCATCACAAACTCAAGTTTAGCAATCAAAGGAGAAAAAAATAAAATTTTAAAGTTCTGTGAATTGCCTTGATGAAAAATACAAATCCTAAATTTTCCAACAAAAATCGTTTAATAAGCCGATTTAATGTCCGACTAAGAGCATAGAAGTCGATCATTTCTTTTTTCAGTTAAAAGAAATAGGTACGTGTTTATTAAATTAACTAGAAATTTATTTAATTAATTTTTAAATCATACATGATGAAAGACCAAGGTATATAGATGTAAAACTTTGTATGATCATTTTTATTTGTTCTTGATTAATTTATTTTGACATTTAAACATCAATTGAAAATCTCATAATAATCGTAAATACATAAAGGCATGCACAAAGTATGATTTAAAATTTAGTTGTTTCAAACATTTTGTATACATTGATTTTGTACATTTCAACATTTTTATTGCGCGGCAATTCGCACTCTAGTTATCGTATGATAAATAAATATAAATATTTTTTTCTTTTTTTTTTCATAACTTTGTTTCATTTGTTAGTCTTTTATATCCTGTCATATTTTCCGGTTTTCTTTTTCCGGTATCAGAGATACATTTTAAAGTTTTTCTGTAGAATCCTTTGTTCTTATTTTATCATTATTTTGTAGCAGACAAAAACAGATTGATTGCTATATTTATTTATAATAGACAAATATTACTTTAATAAATACTAATTAGTGGGAAAAATGAATTTTTATCTTTGAAAATATTTAAATCAATGATGAAGATATGCTATTAAAAATTTTTAAATAATCTCATCTCATGTTCCTTGACAGAGGGGATAGAGGAGTTCTTGCCCTTCCTTCCAAGCAGAAAAAATTAAATTACAATAAATTGGCAAATTTAAACAATAAATTTCATTAAAACTGGTTGACAGCGGAAAATTGGTAAAAATTCCTTACGAAAAAAATGGTTCGCTCTTCATCAAATATATTAATAACAAGAATTGCCTCAGTCCCTTTTTGAGACAATTTTTTTTCATTATTAAATTATTTTAGATGCTTCTTTACATGGAGAACTGATATTAAACTGCTTCGTTCTGTTTATAAGTTTACAGGAAAAACTGTTAATAAGGCTTTAAATACAATATATTAAAATTTATTACTAATCAAACATAGATAGATAATATAATTAATATAATCCAACTGCATAACAACTTTATTGTTTCTCAAGCAAGAAGATGTGCTAGATATGATCTGAAATACGGGCAGCTCCTACAGTACTATGTTGATTTTCAAATTTGATGAGCGCAACTACCCTGGAGCAATTTACTTACTAAAGGCGCTGGTTCAGAAGGCACACAATGCTGAGAGAAAAAAATAGTACCTTAAAAATTTTCACAACTTAAAATTATAGTCATTTCAACACCGCAAGACAGAAACAGAGATAATGGCAGCGCACATCCAGGGACAGTGTCGCCGCAAAAAATATTGTTAAAGTAGAAAGAAAATCAAAGCTGTTAACTGGCATTAAGTCATTGCATGTCCCCCAGAAGACAATTCCGTTCTTTTTTTTAAAGCCATGTAGTTAATATATCACATAATTATCCGGCTAGGGATGATATTTAACAGCGAAACATGGGTCTAGATTCAAGAAAATGAAAAAATATAAAAGTGTGAGAGAGAAGGGTTTTCCGAATGATACCTATATGGACCAGTAAAATAATCGGGGTGGTTAGCAGAGAAAGATATGGATATGTATTACAAAACAGATATAGTGCCATTCATCAAGACAGCAAGAATACGACAGCTTGGTAGAAAGAATGCTAAGAGATCGCCTAACAAGAAGGCTCAAATACCAATTACCAGAGGTATGACAAATGAAGAGAAGACCACATCTGAGTTGTCTTGATGACATGAAGGCAGACCTGATGGATGGTTGTGAAGAGATGGAGGAAATATGCAACTGACATATACGATTGGACGAGGTTAATGTTGGAGGCCAAAGCCCTACAGGGGTTGTAGAGGCAACGAATAAATAGATAGATATCAATTATCCATCTTGTAAGTTTTTTTTCATTTCAGTTCTAACAACGCCCTCTTTCTATTCTCTCCTCAAAGTTCTGGGTTTTATAGAAATGTGTTGGTTGCCTTGGAATTATTTCTACCATGTCTAAATATCACTATCTACCATAGTTGTAGAGGATGAAAACGAAAATGACCAAATTTCAGTCTCAAGAGCATTTTCAGGAGCTATATTGGTCACGTTAAGACTTTATCAGAGTTGTGAACTTGACTGATGAAGTAATATACATCATTTTCAGGAGATTTATTTATTGACCTCTCCCTTCCTTGTTTTTCGACAATACGGGATTCCATTTTATTTATACAACAATAATATTTAACTCTTTTCCTATTAAATTCCTCTTTTATTTCTATACTGGAGTCACTCCGGATTGAGATTGTGTCTCCGTCTTACTCCCATATTGAAATAAGCTGCGCCTATTACTTCCTTCCACCCATACACAAATGCCTCGAAGTATTGGTAGTAGAGTGCAGCGACGAGTAGAGGTAAAAATCCCCTTCGCTGATACTTTAGATACATGTGCTTCTCATAAGCATTTTCAGAGAATTTTCCCTCAGTGTCTCTCAATGTTTATTTTCATCTATTAGGCCGTTCCTCAATCCTCGCTCGAAGGTCCTCTGGAATCCTTGTCAAGCCTTCTCTCTTTTAGGCATTTTCAGGAGAAATCTATTTATTATCTATAATACATTTTATATATATAAGTTATATTCATTATCTGTAATAAATATAAATCAATTTATCATCACCTCTTCTAACCAGTGGAAGCCCCATCAAACACCGAAAGTAATAGACGGAGGATTCTTCCTTCAACGAGTGAGTACCTTGGTAATTGGTAGAACATTTAGTAGAACATTGACTACCTGTAACTCCGCCATGAAAGAATTTTGTTATATTGCTTACATCTCATGAACGTTACAGAAACCCTACTATATCATTGAAACCCGTTAACCAGTTTCAAAGGTAACTCCTTGAAAATATATGACAACGAAACTAAACTTTTTTAATTTTAGTCAACTCAGATTTGCAGATATTTTTGCATCTTTTAATTTTTCTTTAGTAAACTTTATTTTAAATATGTTAAAAATAATTCAAAATGAATATATATTCGTTCTTTTTTTAACATTTGATGATTATTTTAGTATTCTTGTTTTACAAAAAAATGTCCTACGAAGTTTAGTCTTCAAATGCCATTCATATGTTGAAAGATCAAAATGTTTTTAGATGATTTTTGCGGTAAAATTTTAAAAATTGAAGGGAAAAATATGTTTTCAGTTTTTTTTTTTTTTTACTGAATACGCTCGTACATCTATCAACCGAATTTAAAAATGTTTTATACAAATTTTCAAAACTTCCAAATATTTTTTTAGTGAATTACCTTTATGGCAGTGATGACCAAAGTAACAGCAAAAACAGTTGTAATTCCCTTCATTCTTCCAGCTCTTGAGATTTTAGTCTAATCCCGAAGAATGAAGGATACACATTTATAGCTTCAGTTATCCTACGTCCTCCCCCCCTTCTTCCCATCCTTCCTCTTTCAGAGCTGACTGGTTTGGATACATTACCTCAAATATCTGTTATTATATCCTTATGATCTTGATACCTAGACATGATGAGGGTGATATAATGGTTTGTGATTTAGTTTTTGTCCGGTATTTAAAAACTGGAAGTAAATATTGAACACTCAAAAATACGGTTTCCATTTAACTTATAATAAGTGTCTTAATATCTTTATTTTTATTCATAGGAAATTCCACCAACATAGGCAAAAACTGATGTAACCACGTTTAAAATTTAAAATTATTGTAGTCTATTACGGCATAACTTAATGAGGGATCTTTTGACTAAAGTTACTGGTGATCTATACAACCACAGACACTCCGTTGACCAGTAACATAGCATAAAATTACTGAATTATGAATGTGGTCCTCCATCTCATTTTTGAGAGAGGTTAGATGGTGCTAGAGTTCTTGCATCCGTCGATTAAATAAAAACTATAGCAGCAAAATTGAATATTTGAGGAATTTTTTATTTTGGATTCAACCATAAAAAATAAAATAATAATTTAAAAAAATTAAATTAGGGAAATATTTGGAAACATATTATAATAAATGTCGGTGTATTGCGATGTCTTATTTATTTATATAGTTTTCCGATCGGTTATACGTAGCCACAATCACAAATTGTTTATATAAATATTTACCTTCTTAAAAACCTCCTTAGAAAAAAATAAGTATACCTATATAATCATAATTCAAAATCAATTGTCTTGACCAATATAATCCTCTTTGATTCTTGAAAGTGATTTTTTTATACTTTGTTTAATATAGGTTTGATGTTATGGCTGTCATTACTGAAAATAAAATTTTAAAAAGTCCAATAGGCTCTATCTTTCTAAATAATTATCTAATTTACCGTAAATATATTTATTTAGTATTATTTATCTATTTATTGTATATACCTTTTGATTATTTTTTTTTTTTACTGTTTATTTTATATGTTCTGTACATTAAGCGTGAATGTGGTCTAACATCACTATAATTATTGCCTAACTGACAGAATATTACATTACTTAATAAATAAATAAATAATATTAAAAAATATATATATTTAGGTGATTTTTTTCGTATTGTACATAACGCACTTACTTTTCAGATGGCTACATATCAATTTCTTTACTTCCTTGCTTGTTCCTGTTTATTAATATTACTTCCTGCTTTTTTTCAAGATGTATTTTTTTTTAACATAGGCGGGAAAGATAATTGGCAAAACGATGGTTCAATTGTTGACTTGAATAAAGCATTGATGAGACAAGGCGTACCGACAAAAACTACCTTTAAGAAAAAATATATAAAGATATATCCATATTTTCACCTAATTATTATTATTATTATTTTCAAATGATATATGACATTTCTTTCTATTTATAGTGGTAGAGCGTTCAATTATTACATGATAACAAGTAGATTGGTTTTATCTGTTAGAGAGGTTACTGTTCTGCAGAGAAATTTACTTAAACTAAAATTCGGATTGGTGGAAGGTGAATTTTTTTTTTTTTTTTTTTACAATTATATAATGTCTGGTGGTTATGACAAAAATATTTCAGTAATAAACCACAATATTAAAGGATTCGTTGATATTTAAATAATATTTTCTAGAACAGAAATAGTATAGATCATAGTTCAGGAACGCACAAAAAGCAGAAGTTCTTAGGATGGACTTAAAAATATTTAGGCTGTTTTATTAATGAATGTGATGTATTTTCATGTTTTATTGACCTTATTAAAAAAATGTATTTAATATTTTATACTCAAGTGAACAAATCAACTGAACATTTGCGTCAGAAGCAATAGCGTGATTGCAACTATGATTATTTTTGAATACAGTGTTCAGTATTTAATGCCTACCACCAAAGTTGGTAGTAGATACTTTGTGCAGTCATTGAGAGGCATATTATTACCTAACCTCCAAGCAACAATATGTGACGAAGAATATTTTCCTTAGCAATGCCATCAATTTTTTTTCCTTTAACTGGTGTTTTCTGGAACCTTAATTTAATTTAGAATATTTAATAGTTGACCGTTGCATCATAAAGGAAGGAGATGATCCGGGGTGGCGGTCATAAATAGGCTAAATAGTGGTAAACCTATTTAGCCTACTTATGACCGCAACCCAGGACCATCTCCTTCCTTTAATTTAATTTAATTTAACTTGACCGTGTGCTGGTAGACAAGAGACATCAAAGCTCAATACAAGATGTAAAAAGCTTTCGTGGAACAGACTGATTTGAATCATTCTCTAATTAGAATTAAACTATGACAGAGTTTGAAGCGAATTCACAAAACAGATGATAAAGTGGGAAGAAGAGGGGACGAAGTCCATAATTTGAAAAATTCTGAAGTAGAAACCAAATACCTGAACTGAAGAATATATTCGAACCCTTGAACTCGGAGAGCCTCACGATGGAACAACACAAGGGAGAAATAGAGAAAGGACTGAAAGAAACAGCTAAGGAAGTTATAAGTATTCAGGAGAAACGAAAAGGTACGATGTGGTTCATTCATAAGCATGCGGAAAGGCATTAGAGAAAAGAACGAAAATGAAAGTCTTCTGCCTAGCCAAAACTGATCAAGCTACTCTGGATAATTGCATAACCGTCAAGAAAAAGGCAAATATCAAGATCAGTAAAAAAGAAATTTCTCAAAGAAAGTTTGATAACCATTGTGGAGAACTGGTAGGCAGGAGATATACTCAAATTCCATTCAGACATTAGGAAAGAAAGTGTAGGATTTAAAGCGAGAAATACGCAGACGCGAGGAAATGATGTCATTCTGACGCCATCTAAAGAAAAGATATTGGACATCTGAAAAGAACATTTCCAGCTGCTTTTCAATCAAGTGAATCCCACGAACGAATAAGACATAGACCACACTGAGGACCTCGATTCAGTAGAGGTAGAAAATCAGATATACTGGATGTAAAAATGGCTATAGAAAGACTTAATGCAAGAAAGGCCTCAGGGATGGACAACTTACCATCAGAACTGTTTAAGAAAGGAAGAGAATACTTGAGAACCAAGTTACCAAAACTTATCCAGAAAATATGGGAGGAGGAAAGTATACAGAGGCTTGAAAAACGGGCCTAATCTGCCCTATCCTAAAAAAGGCTCCTAGTATGAGTGTAGTAATTATAAATGCATAACACCCCTTTTGGTGGCCTACAAGATATTGACCAATATCCTGCTAAACCATCCTTATTATGAAAACATAATAAGCGACAACAAAGTTAGATTCAGAAAAGGACAGAGCAAGCTTGAGAGTACTCGAAAAACGATAGGAAGTAGCTCAGGACGTCCACGCCTTAATTTTCGATTTCAAAGCAGCCTATGATACTATTGACAGGAACTGTCTTTGGAAAATCGTGGCTGAACTGGGAGTTTCCGGTAAGTTGGTGAGAAAATATTAATTCCTAATATAAGGAAAAGTATCTAATACCTTCAAAGTTCGAACTGGCTTACGTCAGGGAGATGGACTATCACAGATTTTGTTCAACTTAGCACTGGTGAAGGTGATGAAACATCACGCGAAAATGGAGAGGTACACATCGAAATGAATCATAAAATTCTTGGATATGCAGATGATATAGCTGTCTTTAAAAGTAATCAAAAGGGCATTAAAAAAAACTCGGTAAGACTCTGATAATAGAAGCATAGAAAATTAGCCTACAAGTAAATGAAGACAAAATGAAAAATAAGCCTTTCCTTTTTCCGGAGGAAAAATCCTCCGCACGATAACCGTATCTAGAATCGGAGTACTAACACATTGGGAAGAAATGCCTATAAAGAGCTGCTTATAGAAACTGGTTAATCTCATGATATGATGCTAAAGAAATTAAAATGAGCGGAGCATGTATCTCGGAGCAATCCATTGGAAAGTCTCTAAAAGATAATGAATGACTAAATAGTAGGCAAAAGACCAAAAAGCAGATGGATAGATCGAATAAACAAAGATGCAAGAGAATGCTGCGTGCATGGAAATAAACAGCCCAAGACAGGCAAAGATGGAACGTGGCCTACGCCAAGGAAAATCAGTTTTCCCGGTAATTTTTTATCTAGCCTTGGAATATGCCATAAGGAAATTAAAATTAAGACAGGAGAAATTAACTCATTATGTGGCATATGCCGATGGTGTAGTAATTTCAGCGTTAGGAGTCTCTAAAAGCAATGCTATCCAAATTTCACTACTGTATAGAAGACCTTTAGATTTATAATTAGAAAGTAAGATTCGTTATTAGTGTCCTTTAAAAATCTTAAATATAAATGTTTATCGATAGCAAATATTTCAAATTTTAATACATGATAATTTTATTTCATGAAGAGGATGTTTTTTCCGGATGTTAACAAAAGCATTCACAACTCCTCAAAAATGTCTGCAAATTCAACGTTAGTACAACCGTATCACTTAGTTATAGTTATAGTTGATATTCGTTTTTCGCACCTCAGCAAACCCTTAAATATGAATTTAATTAATATAAAGAGCAATTGAAGAATTAAAAGTATCTGCCTGAAATTTTCGCCTAGGTAGAGCCATTCGACATTTTATCAACAAACACAAAAATCGTGATAAGTTTACCATGTTTTCACCGATTCACAGAAAAATTCAAAATTATCAGATATGTAAGGCTCTATATGCTACTCCAAACTACGGTCTGCAGGCCGAATCCGTCACGCAAGCACCATCGATCCGTTTTATGTTCTGCGAAAGTTTCTTTGATTACATGGTAAAATATTAAAAAATAGTTTGAATGTAAAATTTAGCAAATTACTTTCACAAAAAGTTACCACAGCATTCATTGCGTGTTTTTTTTTCTGTTAGAGAGCTCATTTTACAGCGTCAAGTGTCATTTACAGAACAATTGTTTTTCATCACAACCATGGCCCGCGAAATTGGTTGAAAGTCTCA